CATAAGTATGACTTTGCAACACTTCTCCAACAAACGACAATTTCAAGCAGCAGTGATATATTCAAACTGACGACTGTTCGCCTGCCAGTTGATTTCGAAAGAATGTCAATACAAAATTTTCTAAAAGGCACTGAAATCATCATATGGAATTTATTATCCCTCTTGCGAGAATATTCTTCCAACCAATTAATTCCTTCTCCAAAAAGTCCAATAATGTCATTCAAAAAGAGTGAGCATACAAACAGTCTATCTGTAAACATCATAATCTTCGTAGTAAATAAACAAATGCAATATTAGACATCCTTATTTCACATGAATCTTTCGCTTAGTTCTCTTATTGTCTCGCCAGTTCCTCACTCCCATTTCACTCAACTGTTGAACTTCTACGAATGCACCCCCTCTACCTTTAGTTCCAATCGCTGCAGTTATTCCCGATGTTGTGAATTTCATGAACATCACCTGTAACCGTTGCATGAAAATAACAACAATTCCTCTCGGGGTTGAACGTAAAGCAATGAGACCAACAAGTGCGTTTTATTAAGAATGCAGAAGATTATTTTGAGATGTGCGATTCATTCATATTATTCTAAAGATTGCACATTCAACAATGAGTGAATTATCAAAAAAGTGCACAATGAAAAACAAACCTCGAAAACGTCCGATCGTTGCATTATTACGTTGATAATCTCACCATCGCAATCGTCCAATATATACACTAATGCACCCCGATCTTCTGAACGATTTCGTCGACTCATTTCAGTGGATTGACTAAAAATAAACACTCAAACTGACTAATGTTCTAGTTAAGCTTCCTACTAAGCACCGAAACGCCTTCCAATCCCATTCCAGGACTACTTAAGCTCAATTTCAGATTCAATACTCTGCAAAAATCTTACGTTAACTAAACAATTTCCTAATATTCACAAGAATATGATCATCAAAAACAACTGCAATAGTGCAGATTCATCACGGATGAAGAAATGAAGTGATAATGGACAAAGGCAATGAATTGTAACAAACTCACCAATTCGCATCATCGAACACTGGTGAATTCATATCACATGTGCACACAGCGTAGATCATTCGATTATCAACATCAAAATGCATTTCTACCAATGTCTGAAAAAGCAGAATTTACACCGCTTATCAAACTGCATCCAATCAAAAAATATTTTTAATACACGAGTGATCAGCGAATAATTAAAGCCGCTAACCAAACGATCATCCTTAGAAAATTCTGGTGGTGTCAGTGTGATGCGACGGCCGGATCTTGATCTCAGTTCTGTCTCCCTGAAGTGCGAAAATAAGAATAAGAATCGAAACAACGACAAAAAACAGTTCGAATATGCAGATGAGTCTTTACATGACTTTGCATTTTCAATTCATCAGATTCATTCTTTTTTTTTAATTTCCTGAACTCACTTAGTGCATAAAAGGGCCCATATGTCTCCAAATTCATCAGACTGCCGCAAAGATATACGCAATTGAAAGCATAGCGAAATGATTAATTCAGTTCCCTGAATCCTTTCGGTTATGTCATGATGGAATCGTATGGCAAACGAAAAACTCACTGCGAAAATTGATTGAAAAAATCCGCATCAACCCATAACCTTGTTCGCCATTGTTGCTTATAAGTTAGCTGATCTTTGGCTGTCCTATGAAATGAACTGAATGAAACCAGAGCATTGATCGAAAACACACATCAGAAAACTAAATCAAAAAATTTCACGATCATTATCAGTAGTCTNAGAATCTAATGTTAGAAAAGTGATGATCCAGAAAATAGGCACCATAAAACAAACACTGTAAATAACAAATAACTTTTCAGTTACTTCTTCAACTGTAAAACAAGATGATCATTTAACTGAGAACAAGTGCATTCGACTACAAATGTAACTGAATACCAGATCATAAAGGATGAGGGATATTGAAGAAATGATCATTTGTTTGAGATGAATGTATTTATAAGGAACAAACCAGAACGAACGCAACAAAACCTCAATAAATAGTAACAAGCCAAGAAAGGACCCTCAACAACAAGTATTCGTCCTGAGCCATCACTGTGTAAGAATACGTGTTCATCCATTGTTTGTATCGATAAGTTTGTTGATTTCTTCAATTCAAAAGGAATCTGAAACAGAGTTTTTTTTTAAAAAAAACTTCACCAATAAAAACGATAAAATTACATTTGATTCGTTTTGCTGCTAAAATGCAAATGAGATGGCGATTAAATGCACGAAAAACTAACGTGGATTTGACGAATGGCCCAGTCACCGATCACAACAGCATCTTGTTTCTTCGCAGAACGTAGAAGGTATATTGTGTCGGTCATAGTTGCTTCGATTGAATTCCAGCAACCTAAATCGACACAATTAGGCATGAATGGCTCACTCACGAATGATGAAGACGTACGTATTCACCGTTTCTGAATGCTATCTTCAAAAAAGAATGAAGGATTATGGAAAATTTTAACGAAATTGATTTCTGAAATAGATTCTGACCATCGATAGAGAAATATTTCTGAGGAGTTAGTTCATGATTGTTAATTGAACTGTCTGATACAAGCACTTCACGTGGTTCACCATTGTTTTCCAAAAACTGAACTTTGCACTGAAATGAACAAAATAATTTACTGAATCAATGATTCTACGTTCGACATAATGTCATGCAATGAAGCTACACGCATTTCTTACGTCAAAAGTGCCCATCTAAAGCAACATATACCCTTCCATTCATTCAGTAAAATCAACACAAAAAATTGGAGTCCCTCTTCGTCGAAAATAAAAGTTCTGAAGAGCAGTTCAATACGCAGGCTGAAGAATCTTGAAGCTCATTCAGATCGAATGGAGTGACAATTGGATGAGTGACTTTCGAATCGAACCAGCGGAATGATATTTAAGAGAATTTTCAAGGAAATAGTAATGAAACAGATGAACCTGCAGAGGAAAATCCTTGATGTTATAACCAACTATTTGCCGTGGACGCATGCTGAACACCACTAAAATTTCACTGAATATTCCTAACTCGTTTGCATCACCATATAACTTAAACACAACGATTAATCAGCTCTACTTTTCAGGAAGATTCACTCCAGAGTCATGCTTATAAGAATGCACTTTTGCAAGACTGGAATCATAGAATCAAACGATAATGAAGCCATTTGAATGTAGGGAACTGATAATCAAACTGAGATTATCAAAATAAGCCAATGAGATAATGAAACTGATGAATAAACATGCACAATCACCTTTTTATCAAGAAAGAAGCAGCCCTTGTAAGCGATCGGATGCACTGAAAATAATGCGACGACATGCTGACGACACATCTGCAAATCTGTGCATCATTCAAAAAACATTGTCAGGTCCATTGAAAGTCCATTAAAACAATAAGCAGTGTGATTCTGCTTAAAGCGAAACTGTTCAAAACTTACTGATTGTGAGACAATTTGCGTCGATTTCGTCTCGCCAAAAACTGCGAATACTTTCAGTGAATCACACCAACACATACGTCTGAAAGCACCCAACAGATCAAATCAAACAATAACCAATCAGTTCCAAAAAAA